TCAACACAACCAAAGCTGAAAGAGCAGCACCTTCATTTTTATATCATTCTGAAATACAATTGTAAAGGTTAAAAAAATGAAAAAGATCCAAGAGACGATTTAATGAGAGTTTTTGTGCCGGCACATTTTAAACATGAAGGCAGGACCAGTTCTCCTAATGACTGCTGATAGTTTATAACCTGCAAACTGGGGGATCCACAATTTACCAGTTAATGGTTTATGTCTGGTACTGTTAGAGTGCCCATTAGTTAATTCAATCACAGGGATGAACAATCAGTTCAATGACTTTAGCCAAAGGCTGCAACTATCTCAACATTTTATTTAAGTTGTTTTTATTTTTGCATTACATAGTTTGTCATACTGAAGAATGTAAGATTTTCAAATGTTTTTATCTATCATGTTCTATTTAATTTGAGATAAGAGTGGTAGTATCACAGCAATCTGGACCCTTTTTAGAGCATTTATTAGTGTGTGAAGTGATTTTTTTTTAAGTGAGTAAATCTGTCACTACTGCATCTAGTCGGAGTTTGGGGATTGAAAAAATAAAGGAAGAGCAAAGATTTTTGAGCTGTGAGGCGATTTGTTGAAATGTTTTAGGCCAGAGACACCAACCTCATAAATTATTGTGAAACAAAGAGTTTCCTTTAATAATGTAAACACCCTGAGAGTACTTAACGGCACAGGGTGAGGTGCTTTCTATTGAAAGCAGTCCATGTATGAGGTCTTCCTTAATTACAGAAGCTCCCTCACTGTTATAGCAGCAGATGAAAAAGCTGAGCAATCGATCCGAACTGTTGATGTGCTTTTCTCTGTGAGCTGAAAGTATGTGGAGCTGAGAAAAGTCCGGGAAAAGAGGCGTGTTCATGGGGAAATCCTGCAGATGGATTTCCCCATGGATTTCTAACTAGACTGGTTAGAAACACTAACTTTTGTCTCCTTACTTCTGCTGACCTGGAAAATCTCTGAATTAAACACCTCGTTTCCAGATCTTTAAACACTTTATTAGAACCCAGTAAGAAAACTTTCCTCTCCTGAGCTGCATCAAATAAATCCTGACAACTTCAGACTAAAAATTTATAAATTCCTTTTTTTTTCTTCCCACAAACATCTACAAATAGGTTTGGATAAAAAAAAATAGAAGACAGCATAGTGGTACTATCTGATTGCTGTTGGTAGAAATCTATTAACATGGCTCCCCCTGGTGGCATGAACTGTTCCTTAAGTCTCAAACAGATCCCAATTAAGTCAGAATTAAATATATATATATATTTTCAAATCATTAGCTTAGCGGTTTTTCTACCTGAGGTTATCTGACAGGCGAAGGTAGCAGCGGACGACGTGTTTCAGCAGCCGGGCTGACGGTTCTTTGGAGAGCTGCAGCACCATTTTCCCCTGCAGAGAAACGGAGAACGATGGGAATGTTGGAGCGGTCAGAAGAAAGATGCAAAGCTACGCTGAAGCCTGACGGTAAAATTCACCAGAATCATGGCCACATGGGAGAAACGTTCGTATGTCTGACAGATGTAGGCCAGGCCGGTGTCATCCAGCAGTATCTTCTGAAGGATGAACGTAGCAACCTGACATGGATATAAAAAGAGGAAATTATGATGAATAGAGACAAACTTTTCACCAGAAAAACATGCTTTGGCTCTTTTTTTATTAACAAAAGTCAGATTAGATCCTTTAGATTAGTTTCAATAAAAAAAATAAAAATAAATCTAATTCTGCTGCAGGATGTTCCAGTTTTGGCACTTTATTAAAATGGAATAAACAATAATATTCCTATAAAAATAGAAATGTGTACAAGCGGTACAAGTGATGTTTTGAACGGTAAAACGTAGCAAAAACTTCTCTTTATTTAGAAAAATATATATTTTTATTTTAAAACAGAGTTTTGTCAAATATACATCCAGCTTGCTTTAAACAGTGCCCCCTATAGGTTTGTTAAGATGTTATTTTTACATCTCTCTTTGCAGGTGATTAAGCAGACGATAGACGTTTTATCATTGTCTCCCTTTTATCTCCTGTTTCTTTAATCATTTCTCCTTTTTCCAGTACTTCCTTTTACCGTTCTATTTACATTGCAGTGTCCATATAATCTATAATACTCCCTGCATGAACTATAATAAAGCTATTTATATGCATAAATCAAGCGGAACACTGTGGCGATAGCCGTACTGCTCCACTTGTGAAAGCAAAAGAAATCTGTTGGGCTCTTTTTTGGCATCAAGACAATAATTCTTATTAGCACATAGCCAGACAGAAAACTGTTTAGAAAAAAAAAAAAAGATCCAAAATTTAATAAAAGAAAAACCCCAGGACACTACAATTATGTTAGAAATGAGCAAACCCAGCTGACATCCAAGATAAACCCTTATTGTCTATCCAGGATCTCTGGATAGACAATATTGACAATAATAGATTAAAAAAAAAAAAATGTAAATGCAAAATGTTTATGTATTATTTTGTTTTACAATTATGATATTTCTACTCTTAGTGGGTCACTCTGTCAGCTAAATGCATGTTTTACAAGCTCTATACTCAAGTTAATGATTCATTGATTACTTAATTAGTTGGCGATTGTTTCAGCCCTACCTCATTCACAATGATTTATTGCCTTGATTCATTCACAAACATCATTAAATAACTTTAGTCTGGCCCCTTTTGATGGACCAATTTACTCTTCTTCCATTTGAAGTTGGAGATTCAGGACTTTGGGGAAGAGATTTCTACCATTCTGGCCTGGAAAAGCCTTGAGAAGATCAGCAACCAGGTTTCAGTCTTTGTTTCAATAAATTAAATGGAAGTTCAAAATGGAAGAACTTCTTTAAAAAATAAGTAGGATATAAATCCTTATCTGGTGTGAATTAATAGAGGATATCACTTGTAAGGAATTTAGTTTAATTTCTTAGCTGACTGTGCTATTAACTCCCCTGCCTTTCATTAAAACATCCATTCTACTCATTTTCTGTTAAGGAAAATAATAAAACTGCATGTCTGCATCCTAATCTGGCGCGATGTGTTAAAGGTAAAGCTCAGCAGGAGCAGACGGCTGCCTTTTCATTTAGGTCCAACTTTATCGTCTGGATGTTTCAAACTTTCTAATCAGGAGGTCGATTTTAAGGGAAATTAAGGCTAAAAGCTTCTTCGTTTCTGTGACCATAATAAGTTCTTATTGGACGTCTTTAGCAATCCATCTGGAAGAAAAATACAAGTTGTGGACATTCATTTCTGACAGTTTGGCACGACGACTTTTAATTCACCGTTTTAGAGAGTTCGCTCCCCGATTCCATGATCCGGAGACAGAGCGGGATGATTTCAGTCGTAAGGAGGAAGTTTATCACTTCTTGTTCATCTGTTTTCACCAAGGCACCTGGAAGACAAACTAAATTTTATCTTCTGCAAATAAACGATAAACTCTGACCGATCTGTTTTAATGCTAACCAGCATGCTCAGCAGCAGGACCACGTACCTATGACTCCAAGGCTGGTGAGGCGCAGGTACTCAAACGGCCGCGTTTTGCTGACCGTGTGCAGGAAGGGATACAGAAACAGGGGGATATGAGCAGCAAGAAACGCCGACCTGATGAGAGGAATTAAAAGTGATTTTAGCTGCATGACGAACATAAGGAAGCAGATTATGTTGAATGTTTCTCTGCATCTTTTTTACCGCGTCTCTGGGTGTGAGGCGACGCACTGCAGGAGCGCCAGGGCGTTACACACTCTGTTGGACTGATGAGCTGTGAGGGTCGGAGGGTTAATGGAAGGATAGATGTTCACTATTTCCTGTAAAAACAGAGAAAAAAAATAGTTTAACTCTCCTCTGCTTCATCCCAGAAGTCGTCGGTTAGAGCGGACTGTTAAACACAGTCCAGAGGATTTTACCTGCAACAGGGCGGCAATGGTGCCGAAGGAGTGCCAGAGCATTGGGGCCAGGTCTTGCACTGATTCACGCTTCTTGCTCAGCTCCAGCAGAGCATTCTCTCTCGTCTCTGGGCTGGACAGCTCATTGATCCATTGGTAAATCTTCTCTCGGTCTACCTGGGCCAGCGCTGTAACGTTGGTTACAGCCTGAAAAACATGAAGATATTTATTATCATATTTATCAAACACCCACAACATCTTCCTCTTCATGCAACAGTTCACTTTTGGGGGTTATTACGGCATCATCTGCCTCACAACATGATCTTCCTCCTGTCTCCTCTATCCCTACAGTCTCTTTCCATATCAGCTACTCTTCTATCCCAGGTAAATCCTTCCACCATGTCTGAGCAGTCTGCCTTCGGGTCATCATACATCCATCACCCCATTATCTCTCCTCTCTTCAGCCAACAAGGTTGTCTGCAAACATTAGAACCTACAGGAACCTCTATGGGACCTCAGCAGGCACTCAGTCAATAAGCATTAAGTAGTAGCATTTATTAGTAAGTGCAGATCAGGCTTTGACTGGCTGATGAAGCCAACAGACTGAGCAACGGTCTGTCATGGAAAATGAAGCAAGCAGGGAAGAAAAGAGCTGAGCCAGACTACAGTTCGATAGAATAGTATAGAGAAAACAAGCTCTCCAGCTTCTGGTGTGTCTTGTCAGGTTGCATGAAAATATAAGTGTTAATTCAGTTAATCAGAGTTTTTAATTTAGTCTGGAAGTTTTGCAAATATTTGGCACAAGGTTTAACAAAGGTATTTGGAATAAAAAATCCATTTAACTTGCTAATATTGTATACAAGAATACATGTTTTATGAGCTTTTTTAAAAGCTGGTTTTAGGCTTTCTGGTTAATTTGTGTTTTAATAAGAAAGAAGTCCTCTAATTCACTCTCAACTGACATTGTCTTAAAAGTCTCATTTAGAGATGGGATGTTTTCAGGCATTCATTGCAGAGAGAGTCATTCAATATCCCAGGAAATAAAAACAAATGAATTACATCCGTCAGTTAATAACAATAATAGAAGTAGAGCTGCAACTAATGATTATTTTGCAAATCGACTAATCTGTTTTTTTTGTTTTTTTTTTTCAATTAATAATCAGATAGCAAAAGGTTCCAAGAAGAAGAGTTGACAAAATTAAACCCAGAGAAACCATAACTTTTCCACTTTAGGAGTTCTGGATAGAGGATATATACAGACGAAATTTTTTTTATTTTTATTTTTTTATCTTAAATTCAAAATGTTAACAGATTTCTTTTACAATTTTGGTATAATTGCTGCTCAAGGTGGGTCTCTCTGTCAGATAAAGACATTTTGGAGTCTCTATACTTCAATTAACGGTTAATCGTATTTAATCATTCAATCACATCAATAAGTTGACGATTATTTCAATTTTCGATAAATCACGATTTATCTGATTAATTTTTTCATCCCTAAACAGAAGCCATCCTGATCTTTACCCCTCATCAGGTCCATCCACCATCCATGTCCTCTTGTCTCTACAACTGGACCTTGATCTTTTATTTGAAAATCCCATTTAGCATCCGTTTTAAATAGAAAAACAAAACCTCTAAACTACATCACACTCTTAATCTTAACGCTGCAGTGCCTTGCTCATAGGGTGTCCTGCAAAAAAGATCTAGAATCTCCATTAAATCCAGAATTAGGTGTCCTGATCGGATATTAAATTGGTCTAATATCTGCCAAAAATAAATATGGGTATATACCAGCCTGCCTCTAAAATCTCTGATAGTAGAGTTCATAGAAACGCTTCACCTCTATCCATTTTTGTTTAAAGTTTATAACTTTTTGGTGAATAACAAAAAGGCTCAGTTATTCTTATACCTGATGAAAAGTATTGTTCTCTGTTGGAGAATTATCACTTGATCATTTTCTGTAATTTCATACAATAAGTAAAAAAAGTAAGTCTGATTAAACCTGATATCGTATCGGGTCAATATCAGTACTGTCAGTAGTCTTAGCTGCAATATTGTCGGAAATAAAAAAGGTGTATCGGGTCTTCCCTATCCAGAACTGCAGGAATCATAAAAGATTGCCCATAAATGTCAGCAATGCTACGGAAGAGGATTAGGGCCACTGAAAAAATTTTAAAAGTTAATTGACTTTTACATTTTATTTCAGTATAATATGAGAAAAAAAGCCAGAATTCTGACTTTTCTTCTCAGAATACTGACTTTTTTTCTCAGAATTCTGACTTTTTTCTCAAAATTCTGACTTTAATCTCAGAATTCTGACTTTTTTCTCAAAATTCTGACTTTAATCTCAGAATTCTGACTTTTGATTTCAGAATTCTGACTTTTTTTCTCAAAATTTTAACTTTAATCTCAGAATTCTGACAGCTAACATGTTATCATCAAGCCTTCCATGTAGAGACCAAACTAGCTCTCTTGTTTTAATCACCTTCTGCTCCTTCATTAATGAAACAGTATCACCGGGGACCCCTCAGGCACATATAAAGTCGCCTTATGTGTTACTGGCCCTCCCAAACAACTCACATCTTTGTCAGTGAAGCTGAGTGCTCCCACATCTCTTTCTTCATGGTGCCCATCTACATTAAGATCCACAATTCTGAGATTAAAGCCAGAATTATGAGATTAAAGACAGAATTCTGACTTTTTTTTGCCCATATTAAACTGAAATATTATTTAAAAATCAGTTAACTTTTTTTTCTTTTTAGTAGCCCTAATTTTCTGTACAGTGCTCCTAAATACTTAAAGGATCTCCTCACAACCCATGAAACCACCTCCTCCATCTGCCTTGTACTTCATCGCAGACCTTGGTATTCCTGTATTCCATCTGAGGGCTCCACAGACACTTGCTGCTTTTTAAAAAAGCCTGATCCCACAGAACCCACAGTTCTTACTATTTTCTCCATTTAATCACAATAGATCTACTTGAATTGTGCTGTTAATACAAAAAAATAGTGAAAGTCAGTAATGCTTACAGAAACTGCTGATAAATGTGTACATGATTAGAGATACACATGACTGTCCCAATATTTGCAATTTCACAATAAACTGGGCCAAAATACTTTTAGCATGGAGGAGTTTTATTATTATGGAGCAAATGTGGAGCAGAGGTTCAATTAGGTGTATTAAATAAGCTCTAATGCAAGCCTCTCGCCTTTATTTGACATAATATATTAAATACGTACATCCAGTAATCCTGAAAACATCAGAAATAGCAAAAGCCAGACAGCAGCTAGCTAACAACCGTTGATATTTAACACTCACCGCTCCCGTCGTCAGCATTCTCTGAGGCTCACTGGTTTCCTAATATTACTGTAAAAATCTGCGCATCAGCTAAACAGTCATGCTCTAAACTTTTAATTTGTTTTATTTTCAAACACAATTAATAATTTTAAACAGCCTGATCCTATCTTAGTGGAGAGAAATCTTCAATTTTTGTTCAGCAATGGAGGCTAACGAGACACGGACGTCACAAGTATCGCGAGAGCACAGGACATCGCCCTCATTCTCGTTTAGGTGCTGTGTTGATTGGGACCGATCCAACTCGAAATGCCCCTTTTTTTTTTTTAAATGAAAGAATGGGCAAAAAGAATTAGAGTACCCTTTTCAGACAACAGAAACTTCATTAAATTTCAATAAAAAATAAATAAAAGAATTTCAATAACGTTATATCAAAAATATGATTTCACACAAATTTTAATGCAGATTCAATGCATGAATCTGTATCTTAAATTTATTTATGTCAGATCACCCACAAATGACAGGGCCAGAAATATGCAAACAATTGCTGTAAATACTTCATGAAAATTAAATGCAGCATGCATGCATATTTATTACATTTTTTAATGAATAATTCTCATATATCCAGTCCCCCGTGAAGTAAATTATCCCCCCATTATTTGCCAATGGACTCCGTTAAATTAAATCTAAATAGAAGTTTAAATGTAGACCATTTACACTGCCTGGCCTGCATTGTATAACCTCTAGTGATTACAAATGTCAACAAATGAAATAAAATTGTCTATAAATACTGTATCGTTGAATATTTGGTGTTAAATCAAGCGCCTTGAATAGAGTTTTCTAAGATTCAAGCATATAAACAGTAGTGGACATAAGGTATTTAATCTTGTGCGAAACATTACCTATTGTCACTCATGTGCAACAGTCTTCTCTGTCACTGTGCAATAACACATGCCAATTACTGTGTAGTTTGTGTCATTTTTTACTTATTTATATAAGGTCAGTACATATGTGCAGTACAAGTGTAATAATCAAAGTCAAATACTGTGTAGTCTTTCCTTAGATATTACTGTGCAGATATTTTATATCTAAAGGAAACATATTTGAGGATATTTCCATTTTTCTTCTTGCTTTAACTCTTTATACTCTATATAAGCTACTGGAACCAGAATTCCCTGAAGGAGTCTCTCAGTCTACTCATTTAATTTCTACTTTATTTGAATATTATTTTTCAAACATAATTATCAACAAATGTTGACAATATCGATAAAAAAAATACATTTTAGTAAATAATATTTATTAAATGCATAATGACTATCGAAAATGTATTTCGCTACTTAGAAGAGCAGAAGCCTAAAGATCCGAATCACTTTTGGTCAAATGCAGCAAAATGACATGGATCCCGGAAATTAGTTGGAAGTCCCATCACCATCTCCTTTCCGTAGTAAATGTTCACATTCCCGCCATCATCAAGCGTTGCTGCGAAGCGTCGCGTTTACTGTCAACAAGAGACCCTCCGGAGTGCAGGTGAATGCCGGCTAAACTAACTTTCTGCTCCCGGAGGACCACCAACAAACGCCGTACTACATTATTTACGTCCAAAGTTCGGTCCTCCAACGTCTTCAGGTAAAGAAACGACAAGTTAAAGACGCCGTTACTCCGGTTCCATCACCAAATTACAATCAGGCAAATTAGCCTCTCAGCTAGCTGCTGCTAGCATGCCTGCTAACGTCGGCCTCCTCCATCCATTCAGCGTTTCGCTGTAAACTAGACGGAGTTACTCGCATCCTAAACGTTTACTGGCTTGTATTCTTTCCCTCTTCCTCCTGTCCGGCCGATAATGTTTGTGTTGTCATTGGAAATCCGTCTCGTCAGAACGAAATGCAGCGGCACTGAGGGGTCTGTTAGCTAAATCAGTCGCAGGCTAAACAAATAACACCCCCAATTAAACCGTCATTAAACAAACAAAAAAACATAATAAAATAAATTATGTTCAGGGAAAAACATGTGCTATTTTTTTGCGTTGGTTCCGTTTATTGCAGAGTTTGTTGTCAGTTGGTACAGACTTCAGGAAAATGAGTTATTAGGTTTATTTGCTACTGTAACTACAACTTCTAACAAAACCTGCTTCATTTCCTTACTGTTACTCTTGTACATTTCTTGTTGATGTGTTTGTTTATTTTTTCCTATGTCGTGCAATGTTTTAAGGGTCTGTCAGAATAGTTGTTTTGCTTTACTCAGGTGGTTGAATCAAACCAATCACGGATAGATGTTTTACTGTTTAACTATTTAACTATAACAAGTTAAAACATGACTTTTTTGTGGAAGAATCGTTAGAATCGTCACTGTACATCCCTCTATCCATCCATCTTCCTGTTTCTCTGTTTATCCACCCATTCATTCATATTATTCTTATAATTTCCCACTCCTTAGAGCAGGGGTCTTCAACATTTTCCAGGCCAAGGATCCCCAACTGATTGAAAAATGGAGCGGGGACCCCCTAAATATATATAAATAGTATGAAATTGTGTTATATCAAACTGGTCTTGTAGTCAGTCTATTTCTTATGGAGTAATGAAACAAAAGTAATTTCACACTGGGATTATTAAAGTATTTCTGATTCCGATTCCTGGTTGATGGGACAGGTGTTGTGAATGAAATGGTGCCGAGCTTTGAAAGAGCTCCTGTGTGTCACTGAATGTGTGCATTGATGACTGAAATACATCTTCTGCCTCCATTTATCTGTTTACTTCAGTGTGTTGAATTCATGTTGATGTGTCTTTAAGGACATTTCAATTAGTGGAAAAAATTGCCGGGGGAAATAAAGAAAAAAAGTCTAATCAACCAAAACTTTCGTACCTCTGTGGACCCCCTAGTGGTCGCGGACCCCCTGTTGAAGACCTCCACCTTAGAGGATAATTTATGCACTAAAAGGTCCAGAAGTGAAATTCAGACATTCCTAAATAGAAGCTCAGCTTTAGTTTACCTCATTGCAACTCCATGCTGATGATGGAGCTCCTCGTTGTGCCTTTAGAGCAGAGCATAACCAACCAACCAACAGAAATGTCATTTCAGGGATCAAATGGCACCAGCAACAGGTTCTAACAGAGATTAACAAATTTCTATCTGTCTTTTTTTTTTTTCATTAATCCAGTTTAGAAACTGACTTTCTCATGTTTTCATATATTACAAGCTTCCAATCATCATAATAACTCCTCTTGTGACTGTTTTTTTGTTAGGATTAACCTTTCAAAAATTCACTCTGCTCTGCATGTACGAGCTGTATCTGGTCTGGTAACAGAAACTGTCCTGTCTCTCATTTTAGGATTTGTCCAACGTTATACCACTAGGATAGTCTGCTATGGCAGCATTTGTGCCCAAACTCTCCAGTGGTGCCACCGTAAAGATCCGCCTGGATAGCATAGATCTGGGCCTCACCAAATGGAGAGAGGGGACATTTGAGATCCTGGAGAAGGACAACAGAGTTAACCTCTGTGTGAAATTCAATGGTTCTGGGGCCCCCAAAACCTTTCAGGTAAACTTCTACTGCATGGCTTGTATTAGTAAATAATCTGTAATAAAATTAAGACAGCTCAAAAGGTTTGGTTATGTGCTTATGAGTCAGTAATCAGAGCCTGTTCTTGTATGTAAAAATGAACCAAGATTTGTGACAAAATGTTTTTTTTAGAGATTAGCACAATCTCTTAAACTAAGATAAATATTATGAATAAGTGAGTTCAAGCTTCTATTATGCAAGGTTGTTATTTTCCTGGTGGATTTACATTTTTCTATCAGATCAGTAAAAAGTTTGACCTTAGTTTTGTTTTTCTGTTTACTTATTTTAAGCGAGGTGATGCGGAGCGTTTAAACAGCCGCAGCCTGATAATTTGACTGAATCTGTTTGTTTTGCTGCCATCAGCTTAACCAGAACGTGAAGAAATTATCCCCGAGCTTGAACCGAATTATGCTGACCCTGAAGGACCACAGTGTCATCACCTTCGACAGAATGCCCCCACAGCTGGCTCAGAGGACAAAGGACTACCTGGAAAAGCTGAAACAGGGAAAAACTGGTAATGTGGGTTTAATTCTGTCTCACCACTAGATGGCAGCAAAGTGCTTCCATTTGGAGCCTTGTCACAGACGCCACAACTGTTGCTTTAGACAACATTAGTAGTTGATGAAGATGGACTTTTTATTATTGATTAGGGTAAAAAAAATTTTTTTAATCAATTTATTTGATGAATAAGCAATATTTTTTTTTAACTAAGTGACCTATCCTATTTTTATTATTTGGCATAAATATCTACAACACACCTGTAGATATATCACTCCAGGGTTTTGTTGTTTTCATGACTTTGAAAGCTTTTCTGTATGAGTAAATCGTTGCAGGACTACTGTTGTCTGGAAAAGTGTTTACTTCTACTAACATGCATTGATCTGCTGACACTCCTCTTTTTGTATGGCTGCAAAACCCCTTTAAGTGTATTACTAAAGGGCTATTAAGATTGACTGCTTCTGTGATTATTAAGAAAATTATTTCTGTTTTGTTAAATTGGGATTTTTATCACAAATGTAATCAATGTCCAACTATGCATTTAAGTAAACTTTTATGTTTTATTTTTATTTCTGTTTGTGATAAAAGTTTTATGCAATCCTGGTGGATGTTAAAGTTATTGAGTTTGACAGCAGCTCTCTGATTGTTTCCCGCTAAAAATAACTGAAGGTGCAAAACTTCCTGTTTAAGGTACGTGCAGATTCAGTGTCAGCCAGCAGGGGGCAGAGTTGTCTCATTTAACCAGACTAGCTGAAGGACATGGTCATTTTTCTTAGACTTGTTCTAATTTGTATTATAATTATCAGAGTAAAATAATTAAGATTGATTCTCACCTTTGGAATCCCTGATGGCTGTTCTCCCCCTCTGAAAAAATAGAAAGTGTTATACAGCAAACAACAATAATTATATTCTAATTATCATTTTAAACAGGCAGTTGTGAATGGAGCAACATTTTACTCCACCCCTACCTTTGCTCTTGTTTATTTATTGTAAAAAAAAATTTATTTTATTTTTTTTAGTGCTGATCAAGTGTGGGTCAAATAAAGTTACTGCTTAATGCAAAATCTAATTAAATTTCATAAAATAAAAACATAAGTTTTATAAGAATTAACAAGCGGCTGGAAATGATTAGCTTTTCAACTCCAGGGAAAGTCTAAAAACATCTCAGTACTCCGTTTATAAGGCGGACTGAGCAGCTGCTTTTTAAATGCGGCTTCATACATGCAGCCTTGGAGCTGAGTCTAGTTTCCTCATCAATACGAGCTGCTCACACGGCGGTGCTTTTTCCCCCCTCAGTTCTGAAATCCTCCCACGGAAGTGCGAACTTCAGCGTGCTCAGTAATCGCTCCATGAAAAACGAGAACAGCTCAACTGGGGAAAGACAGGTGAGAATTTAAAGAAGACGCTTGAACCCGATAACTGTTATAAAGAGAGACTGAACTTTTGACCCAAACATTCAGACGACACCAAGGAGGCCGAGTGCGGACGCCAGGGACGATTCGACGCCACGGAAACCTCTGAGCAGCCCCAGCAGAGCGGCCTCCACGCCGACTCGCAGCGGACTGTCTGAAAACAGGTGGGGATTTCACCAAATCTCCCAGAAAGTCTTTCTTACTGATTGTGGTCTGGTTCAGTCCGGTTTACCGTAGCCCTGTTTTGGTGTTACTGTTTGTTTCAGGGGTGAGAAGAGAAAGAGGCTGCTGAACTCTGAGAGTGACCTAACGGAGGACTACCCCAAGGAAAACGACTCCTCCAGGTGAACGCTTTACACCTTCAGCTCTAATTCAAAACCACAGAGACATTAAGTCAAACTAAGGGTAAGAAAATCTATAATCTGTTTTTTCTAGCAACAACAAGGCCACTGCAGACCCATCCAGAAAGTTTCTGCTGAGCTGCAAAGACAAACTGAAGCAGGCAGAGGAGAACAGGAGCTCAGGTAAAACCTCGTGGCTCAGTGCAGACAGCTGGCGGAGTCGCCGCTTTGACTGTTGATAACTAATAATAATTGAACTTAATTGATCTCAAAATGGGAAATTTACTCTCTGCATTTATTCCGTCCCCTTGGGGAGCAGTGGGCTGCCATTGTGTGGCTCTGGGAGCAGTGTGGGGTTAAGGTTCTTGCTCAGAGCCCCAGAGTAGAGACTGTGGGTATTGAACCGGTTACTTGCAACCTTCTCAGAGCACGAGCGCACTGCTCTAACCACTAGACCAACACTACCAACACTTTGTGTGAAGTTGTGAGGACACTGGATGGTCATTAATGGAGCTCAGGAATAAAAGTTCCCACTGAGTTCAGATTCAACTGAGTTGGGATAAACTACATTCTCCTACTCTGCACCTTGGGGATGGAATAACCTCAAATTAGAAACTTTCGTGTCCATTAATGAATTTAAAGCAACCATGAAGAATGTAGTGATGGAGATATGTGCTTGTTTTCCTTGAGATGCTCAATGTGTTTTAACATACTGCTCTGATTTTATTATGAAAAATGTAATATGTTGTAAATATGTATGAACTTCCTGTGGTTTGGCTGCTACCTTGGCCAGGTCTCTCTTGAAAAAGAGATTCTGAATTTCAATGGGACTTCCTGGTTAAATAAAAAAAAATAGAGTTCAACACAGACGTGTTTCCAGTCAATTAACACGTCTAGTCACTTACTGCTAACTTATCTGCTTTGACCAGAACTTTTTTTTCCCTTAAATCCAGACTGTTTAAACTAATCATAGCATTGTTAGTTATTAATTAAATGTGTTTCTTCGAATCAATAATTTATTTTTGAAAGGAAGTGAAACAAGGCATCATTAAAAATATGGCACAGGTACAATAAGTACAAAGAAATAAAATCTGACAAAATTTGCTAATTAAAAAAATAATATTTTTGCTTGTCCATAAATCTAAAGTCTTATTATCATAAGATCATTTAAATCCTCAGCAGCTTCTTGTAAAGTTGGTGAATGGTTTTGTTGTTTTTAACTGTCTTTGGTGATGAACTCTGGGTCTCTGAAGTTGGAAGGCCTCTGTGCCATCACCCCAATCTTTAGCTTCCTTTACAAATTCCATGTTAGAAATCGCCTCCATAAACCGAATAGTATAGATCTGTTTTTAGAGGATTTAGCTTTTATTTTTTTTTTATAAATAGACAAATCGAGACAAATTTTTATTTTTTAGTTGTTTTTTATTTTTTAGTTCAAGTTTTTACGTTTTCTAAGCTGAAGTGACCACAGCTTTCCTCCTTGGTCTGTAGCTCCACTGGGGTCCACTCCCCTTCAGCCAACATCGTTCTACGGTAGTCGATCTGCAGCTAAAGACTACAGCCAGAGCTCTTTCCTGGACAGGTGAGTTCCTCTATATGTGCTCCATATGTGCTCCTTAGCTGCTAGTGGCGACTGAAACTCATTTTCTGATCGTTTCAGAGCTTCCAGCGCTGCACAGACCACCAGCAGCAAGAGAAGCCTGGTGCTCCCCAACCACTCCACTCCCTTCAAGAAAGTCCGACCATCTCTGGATTACGGAGGCTGGAACAAGCAGAGACCCTCCAGCCTGGCCCAGCAACAGCCCCCTCTGCAGGGGTAAGAAATGGGGCCGTGTTTGTTCACAAAGTTTATTTACTCATCTTACCAGTTACTCAACTTCTAATAATCCAAAAATGCAGGTTTTCCAACTTGGGCAACACTTGCTACATGAACGCCATCCTCCAGTCGCTCTTCAGCCTCCCCTCGTTCTCCAACGACATGCTGAAGCAGGGCATCCCATGGAAGAAGGTTCCCATCAACGCCCTGCTCAGGTGCCGCTTTAAATTCAGTCTGCATTGAAACACAGCTTTAGTTCCGCTGTCTGTGCAGCACTTTGATTCCCTCTGTGTCGCATCCTGAATGTACGCAGGCGTTTCGCTCACCTCATGGTGAAGAAGGACGTGGCCTGTCCAGAGACCAAGAAGGACCTGTTGAGGAAAGTGAAGAACGCCATCTCCTCCACAGCCGAACGCTTCTCTGGAAACATGCAGAACGTAAGATTTTCCGGTTCGCTGTCATTGAGTGTTAGAGGTTAAAGCAAAGAAAAGAGTGGGGCCTGCAGTGTGCCGATATTTAATCTGATCATCCTCAGCAGTCGATCGACTGACCAGAAACTAAAACATCCGATATTCTTATAGCCACAGAGCTCACCATAGCTCATCTGCTATGGTGAAGATTCAAAAGAAAAAGGGGGGAGACACTGCAGTTACTTGGTTTGCTGGGAGCAGTGATGGTTATAAAGTCTAACAGCTGCTGAGAGGAAGGATCTGTAATAACGCTCCTGTTAGGGTTGGACTTTTTTTTTGTTTTATATATATATATAGATAGATATTACAGCATAATTTCTATCAAATAGAATATAACATTTTTGAAATTTCAATATAGATTAAAGATTATGGTTACAGCATTTGTCACTGACTTAAGTTCCAACTTTTATGTAGTTTTTTTGTGTTTTTGTCTTTTTACACCAAGCATTTCTAAAATATTATATTGGAAGAGTTTTATAAACTGGTACAGGCAACTGTTGTTGGGAATCTGAGGCTTTTATTTAGTTTATATCCATATGAAAATTATATCATTTTGAGCGAAGTTAATAAATTTAATATTTTTTAGGGAAATTGTCCTGTATTTAGAGTATTCCTGACTGCCTGTCCAGAAACTCTGACCCTTTAAACGCTTTTATCTTCGATTTAAAGGAAACTTTGAAATATTTTGCAACATAAATGTGCAGACAGAACATGCCCACTAATGACCAATGAAGATGCTTAATTGCCTGGCTACTCTGGTTTCAGCACCAGTTGCTATGGTAACTGACCCTGTAAGAAGTTATCACTGATCATCTTAAACTGAACCTGAAATAGGCGGGTAAATCACGCTGCTCCATAGTTCACGCCCCTGGTCTCTGATATAATCCCGTCTGTCAATCAGGACGCTCACGAGTTCCTGAGTCAGTGTTTGGATCAGCTGAAGGACGACGTGGAGAAAATGAACAAAGCCCTGACAAACGACACGTCCGCACCCTCGTCTTCCGCCGTGTCTGATAACGCTGCGGAGGCGACGGCCAAAGCGGAACCCGGCGACGAGGCCGACACCTCCCGCATCTACACCTGCCCCGTAGCCGTCAACATGGAGTTCGAGGTGCAGCACACCATCACCTGCAAATGGTGAGGCTCGGCTTCATTTGGGTCGTCATGGTGACGGTTGGTTTTTCAGGCTGTGATGCTTGCCCTCTGTGCTTCAGCTGCGGTGAGGTGGTGAACAAACGCGAGCAGTTCAACGACCTTTCCATCGACTTGCCGCGCAGGAAGAAGACGCTTCCACTTCGCTCCATCCAGGATTCCCTGGACCTCTTCTTCAGGGTGGGTCCTCTTCATCAGTTAGCTTACCGCCGTCAGAGACGTTAGCATCAGTATGGAGATGCATTTTTTCCCCCTTGTTTGCAGATGGAGGAAATTGAATACTCCTGTGAAAAGTGCAGTGGGAAATCAGCTACTGTGACGCATAAGTTCAGCAAACTTCCCAGGTACCTGCAAACAAACTTGCTCTGTTCCCCACATGCTCAGAACCTGCAGAACCGCCGCCTGACTGTGATCTTCTCCTCTCAGGGTTCTCATCCTCCACCTGAAGAGGTACAGCTTCAACGCTCAGCTGTCCCTGAACAGCAAGCTGGGCCAGCAGGTTCTGATCCCCCGGTACCTCACCATGCTGTCCCACTGCACCGACAGCACGCGGCCCCCCGTCAGCCTGGGCTGGACCTCCCAGGCCTCCATGTGAGTCCAGTTTCAGACTGTTCTAGTTCCGTTTTGTTGTTTGTTTTCTTTTATTTTTTATTTTAGGTGGTTTGGTCGTTCCGAACATTTTAAAAATATGTTCTTTTCTTTTGGATCCTAAAGGTCTCGGACGCTTAAAACATCACAATCAGTCAACTCCTCCACGACTCCTCTGAGGTGAGTTTAAATTGGGCTCGGAACAAAAGGCAAGATCCAGATGTGCAATTAGAACAAACAGATGTTCTGATGTAATTAATGCCAAGAAAACCAAACAGTTTTATCAAACTAATAAAAATTGAACAGAACATCTAAGTATCTGTACCTGATATCCTCAGTGTGTTTCCGTTCCTCCACATAAAGCTGTTCAGCTGCAGGAATCAGAAAAGGCCCTAAAGTATCCATGACAAAAATGACTCTGCTGATGTTGGACTTTATAAAGCTTCAGATGAGTCGGGTCAAAGCATGGTTGCAGACTGTAGAACCTTACATTGGACCAGCCTTGGTTCTGGGTCTTTCCGTTTGGACTCTGGGAAGTGGATTCCTAAATAAAAACAACCTTTGATTAGAAGAGAGGACTTTGGACCAGTGTGGAACAGTCTTTCTTTCTTCCTTTTTCTTATTGGGATGGTTCTGATTCAGTTCTGCAGTGTGGCGGCCCATGCTGTGGATCAATCCGTGTTTTTTGACTTTTGAAGCTTCATCCAGATCTCAAACAGCCTTTCATTTATGATACTTCTAAGGCTGCAGATTGCAGTGCTGCCTTTCCACATTCTGCTTTCAGTTCTTCCCTCCACTCAACTTTCCATTAAATGCTAGAGTGTTTCAGCATCTTTAGCTTGGCCTGTTGTTGCTAGCTGTGCTGTCGTACCAGTGATTGTATAATTTAACATTTTAGTGTTAAAACCTTTTTTCTGGTTTGATTTATTTTTCAAATTTCATTGGAAGCAGTTTGTTTTGTTATTAATAGCTGATTTAGCTGTTTGCAAAACGTAAAAATGTTCCTCTAACTGTCATGAATATGAGGTCTGTTCTTTAAGTCCGATTTGTGAAATAATTAAACTCATTGATGAATCTGTGGAGTCGTCCTGAAATTAAGGTGAAAGAATCTGAAGCTTTCTTTTCAAAGGGAACAGAGCAAAGCAGTTTCTCCTCCTTCTAAAGTGATCAGAACCGTTTTCCTTTTTTTTGTAGAAGGACTGGAGGAAAACCAACAAACTCCAGCTGCAGCTTGATTCTGCTGGATTCGGACTGCGAAGACGAGCCCACCAGGAAGGTGAACACCAGCCGCAAGCGGCGCCTCAGCACCTGCCTGCCTGAAGACGAAGAACGCCTAGAGGAGGTAAGAGCCTTCTGATGCACTTTTACATTTCCTCGCCTGCCTTCCTTTTCTGCTCCGATTCGTCACATTTGATGCGTTTTCAGAAGGCGGCAGCGTTGGATGCGGAAGAATTCAGCGGCATAAACGACGAAGAAATGTTAGCCGCCGTTCTGGAGATGAGTCGAAGAGAAGCCGAGCTGCCCGAAGCGGCGCCCCTAGAGGACGAGCCCACCAGCAGCCCGGACACCGGGTTCGGAGACTCGGATGTTCATGAAGTGGCTTATCACGCTGATATGCTGGAAACGGACAACAAACCACCTGCAGGTACCGACAGAACGTTAAAACCAGAAGGTATCCCACATTAAATCAGAAAGATCAGAGTCAAATGTCTGATAACTCAGCCGAAACGTTTGGGTTTGTTTCTCTGTGTTCTGGTTCTGTTTAGACGTGCTGGAATCTCTGGATTTGACGATGGATGAGAACAAGGAGAACCAAACTCCGGAGAGCGTGCAGCAGCAGGGAGAGTTGGACTGGGTCCAGCAGTACAATCTGGACCAGGAGAGGGAGGAACAGGAGCTGCAGCAGGCCCTGGCCCAGAGCCTGCAGGAACATGTAGGACCAGAACCTGTGCAGCAGCCGTTCGGATCCATTGACCATCTCTAATCAGAGCTGTTCTCGCCTCATACAGGAAGCGCAGGAGATGAGAGAAGATGACGATCTGAAAAGAGCCACTGAGCTCAGCCTCCAGGGTAGGTAACAGACCTGATCCGGTCCCTCTGGGCTCTGAGCTGTCGGGTCAGCCTGACTGGAATCCTCTTTGTCCTCAACAGAGTTCAACAACTCGCTGCCGGAGCTGCTGTGCTCGGATGACGACTCCGGGAACGAGGACGTCCTCGACATGGAGTACACAGAAGCCGAGGCGGAGACCCTGAAAAGGAACGCAGAGGTACGAGGCTCGCTGGTGTCACTAAGAACGTGTCGAATGACTCATCGGATACGAGATGACGAGCATCTCCTCTCTGATCCACAGAACGGAGACTTGGCCAACTCCTACAGACTCATCAGTGTGGTCAGTCACATCGGGAGCAGCTCTTCCTCTGGTGAGCTCCTGCTTCCAAACAGCCTAGATTTCCCACCCAATTCATCTCCTTTGACATTTTGATCCAGAGTTTTAACCAGAGCCAAATATCGACCCGTCTTTACGATCTCCTCCTAGGACATTACATCAGCGACGTGTTCGACATGAAAAAGCAGTCATGGCTGACCTACAACGACCTGGACGTGTCGCGCACGCAGGAAGCTGCCGTCCAGAGAGACCGCGACCGCAGCGGATACATCTTCTTCTACATGCACAGGTGGGTCCAGCTATCCTGCATGTTGCATCCTGCAACACTAATATGTGTTTAAAAACGTATCTGTCAACATGACGCATCTGCTAAAAAAAAAAGTAATCTTTTGAGGTTTATCATTAAAATTATCAAGAATTTTAATGATAAACCTCAAAAGATTAATTTAGGAATAGGAACGTTCCAGCCGTTGCGTTTTTAATTTTCTCGTTGTCATAGTTTTCCTTTGTTTGTACAAAACAAATCTATTTGTCACTCACTTATCTGAATTAAAGTTCATTTCAAATTGACTTTTGCTTTTACTGTTTTTACTGTACTTATTGTTTTAAAAATATTATTTAAAATCCTAGTCCACAAGCATCCTCATTCACATTTTCACTTTCTAATATATGTTTACATTATTTATTGGCTGCATCTAAAAATATCAAAGATATTTTGAATTTAAACATAGATATGAAATAATACAATAACTTAATTGATATTGTACTGTCAAGTAGAAAACGAAGTGGAGTGGTTTTGAAAATATAAATATAAAATATATAACCGCAGATGTCTGGGGGGCAGTGATTCACCTACATGTTATGAATGCTGGCGTACCTTAAATGATAAATTATGAACAGTTTAGTTTGTGCCTTCAACTCGTTGCCCAAAGGAAGACGTTACTTAGATATAACCTAACAGAATATCTTCAGAACAGCTCCAAATGACACAAAACTCATATGGGTGAGTAAACATGATCTAATAACGTAAAATCAAGGGCCCAATCAAAAAAAAACGGTGTTCCCCTTTAAAGGTCCAGCAGGTGTCAGTATTCTGTGAGACTGTATCTATACAGTTTGGCAATGTTTCGCTTCAAGATGCCTCATTTACCCATCACTAATATTTTGGTTAATTGGAATAAACTTTAACAGAATTTTACTTTGTGTATTTTAATGCACCCTTTGGAAGATTTAGAACCGTAAACAAACAACAACCTCTTTGAAGCTGTGTCTGACATCCCGATACCTCCATCTAAAGTCCGAACAAGATGACTTGGAATAGAAAATGTGCGTAGAATTTCCTATATGCAGCAGTACAAAGGGACGTACAGGAAACAATGTGCGTTGAAAGCTGCCTGCAGCTGCAGCCGTACTAGAAAAGGATGAGGAAAAGGCTGAAAAACAATTGATCATGTTGTAGGAGCAGCTGTGCTGTATCACATTCGGATTTGTTTCAGAACTAGCAAAGTTAACTGATAAATGAACATTTATTTGCCCGTTTTTCACAAAAATGGATGGTATTCCAGCTAAAGTCAGCACAGCGTCTTTATTTTGCCTTAGCCTGCCGTCGCTGGTTGACGTCATACACATCACTGCATTTCAAGATGTTTCTAATCTTTTGACAAATCATCTTTGCTTGCAAGATTAGGAAAAAACTAAAGATTTCCTAAAAACGGAGCTCCTGTTCCCCCACCTGTCAGCTGATTGTCTTTGTGTGTGAACTGCACCTACAGTCGCAGTGCTGCTTTCAAAACGCATCCTTTGCACCACATAAGAATAACATGGAAATCATTTGCTTCATTTCTGTGGCTGTGAACACAGAGAGTTCTGGGCTGATTAGTTTCAGAAGCATAATAGAGCTACTCCAATAAAGTTAAAATAAAAACAATCCACTGGACTTTGTTTTCAAGTGTGAAGATGTTTCGCTTCCCATCCGGGAAGCTTTTCAATTCAAAATGTCAGGAATAGAGTTTGAAGCTTTATATAATAGCCCATCAACTTATTTTGGCTTTAAAAACATGCAAATTCTACCAGGAAGGTTACATTTGCAAAAGAGCTATGAATTTATCTATGAAAAATGAATGGGATTCACAAACAAGAGCCTCTAAAAATGATTGGATGTTCCTGCGCACCACAGTTAGCCAGTGAGGCCATCTGAAGGCTCTGATCTGTCTTAACTCAATCACTAAACTGTTTCTAGCTTCGGATGATGGGAAACTGTTTCTGTTCCAGGGATGTTTTCGAGCAGCTGTCTGAGATGGAGCGATCGGGATCCAGCAGCGCCGCTGAAGCAGGAAGGAACGTCCTGCAGCCTCTTTGAGACGTCCCCATAGACCAAGCTGTCCTGCAGGCGTCCTCCACACTGTCCCAATAAATGAGCTCGAGTCCTTACAGGCAGTAAACTGTAAGGCTCAAACCTTCAGCGCATCAAACGGCGCCTCCTTCTTATAGATGCCTTTTTTTTCCTCTCTGTCGCCCTCAACCATCAGACGCAGCTGCTAAGCTGCAGATTCTTTATTTCCCATAAAATAATAAATATGAATTCTATGTTGGAGTCAAAGCTGTGGCAGAGCTAGAGGGTGGGTGTGTTTAGCGGGTTACATTTGGTGCAATACGTCGGTTCTGATCAGTTGTTTCGTGCTGCTTCGCCTGTTCGGTTGTTTTCTTTTCAAATCAGACGTCTGTTGGTTTCTGAGGTTCTGCCATATTTTGGCTTGGATTTCTTTTTTTTTTTTTTGAACTTGTGCCTCCAGAGAAGACTTTTATAAACATGTGCACGAGCTTTACTTTGAAAGGTGCACAACTTTGGTTTTGGATGTTTGTCGGACCTTCTGTCATGTTCGTATGTATAAAGCCAACAGATTTTTAATGGTGTTTGCAGCATAGAGGTGGATCCGCCCCCGAATAGTTAATGTTCCTGTTCCTTCAGTATTTATCAGCTCAGTTCTCCGTTTGCTTGGAAAATAATCCCAAAACAAATCTAGTTTAGTTTTTATTCCACAGCAAGATTAAACATGTCATTTCTCCCTCATAAGATGATTTCCTTTAAATATTTATATCAATTTGGTGGATATGAGTGGCCTGAGAGGTGGATCGATGAGCTGATGGTGTTTCTCTCCCCTGCCATGTGTCCTGAGTGCTGTGTGAATAGGCTGGTATGTATTTATGCAGTGAGAGTGGGAAGCTTTTTCTACCCTTCATACACGACTGATTCTTCCTAAAAGCAGATTTTAATAAAGTTATAGTCAAACTACAGACTGGATTGTTTATTTTAACGATTGATGTTTGATTGTGTCGCTGAAGACGTCCTTCCAGCTGTCAAGAGTCTCTATTAAAATCCTAAACAGCAGCAGTGGATTGAATTAGTGCAAAACAATTGGTGCAGTGTTGATCTTTTGGCCCTCGCAGGCTGCCGTCATGTGTCCGGGCCGCATCTCTTCATGAGCGGCTCCGTGTGTCGGCCGGTGAGTCTGCTGAACTCGCTCAGGATGTATTGTTCCCTCTGCAGCATCTGGAACACCAGCAGAAATATTTATTATAAACTTCTTTCTAGAGTTTTCTGTCTGCACCAAAAAAAAAAACCCCAAAACATTCAGATTAATTTCTAATTTATTTAAAATGCAACCACTTCATACCGGTACACTGGAAAAAAATCTAAATCTAGATAAGTCAAATTGTTCCTTAAAATAAGTGCATTTGTTCTTGAATTTATGAGAGAGACATTTTTCCAATGGAACAAGATCATTTAGATTTAAAATCAGAAAACACAAATGCATTGCCTTATTTCAATGCATTATCAAATTATTTTATTTAAAGAGTAAAAAATACTGATTGCATTAGCAAACTCTCATTTAACTATTCAAATCAAGGGTAAATACACTTAAATTGTACTAATTTCTAGATCGTTTTTCCAGTGGAAATCCAGAGTAAACTGGTTCTTAAATGGAAGTTTAAACCAGCATTAAAAGCATTTCCAGAAAACAAATCCAAAGATTCAGTTTGATTAATTTCTTTTCTCTAAATCCAGTCCAGCAGCCGTACGCTCGTCTTCAGCCAAAGCTTTGGATTATCTTAAAATTTCATAACCCCCCCCCCTGTGAAAAATCTTTTTCTAAAGGCAGCATTTGTTCTACAACCTTCTGCTGGACATTTTTTTCCACACCATGAGCCACCGTAGCAGATAAAAAGTTTTTTGGGTGAAAAAAAAAAAAATCTTTGTCAAGACTGCAGAAATAAGTAGTTTGACCTCGAGTTTCCTGTGATGAGCATTCGGACGTCAAGCTTAAAAGTATATAAACTTCAAAGGAAATGATAGCATGTACAGCTATTTTCTTTTATCTCTTAAGCTTTATTATTAACAGGTTATCTGAATGTTATCAAGTAGCTTTTAGGTAGAAGTAGACAGTTTGTGTCCAGGATGTGTGGGGTCTGTGCAGGGGCATGGGCGGAGGTTTGCATAGGGACCTGTTCCTACCAAAATTTTGGAACAACCTTCTTGTCCCTACCAATAATTCGATGTGAACAACATGATTATAATTTACTATACAGCATTGTTGCAGCAGTGGCTTCTTTTTCTCTTGCAGCTCCTCTGCCTGTTAGCTGCAGCTGCCTCGTCTTCCTGTATCTTTCACGTAGCAGCGCATAGAACTGTGCTGTTTAACTCTCTGATTGCTTGTTTTCTAGTGGGTGCGTGCTTGGAGCATTAAATTAAAAATAAAAAAAGTAAGTAAGTGGTAAGCTAACTGGTAAGTTTACATGCAAACATTTTCAAGGTGGAAAAAAATCCTAATTCCACAATCGTCAGAGCCAGTGATGCTTTAAACATTGATAAACAGCATCTAGTGTGTTTAGTGCTTATAAGATTTATATTAATGTAGCAAGAAATGCTGCTGTTCTCTTTAAACAAAAGTGTCCTGATGCTCACATTAAGCAACAAAAAAAGAGCATGCATATTTTTGCATTGGACCAATGAATATGAAGACCAATAGTGTCCCTACCAAAGTTGAAATTAAACCTACGCCCTTGCGTAGGGGTAACATTTCTGAAAGGAAATGATCCCATAAGGTCGCTACTTCCATCAGGTGATCATAGCGATATTTATTCATCAGTACGTTAAACAGTAGAGGGAGACATTTTTAAACTCGGTTCCTTTCTTACTTTGAGGGTCCCTGATTTTAAAAGATTTCTTCTCAACCTGAAGATCTGTGACCCTTCTTCAACACTACAGCCTTTTAAACTCATGCTTCCAAAACAATTTATTAACAATCAGTCCAAATGTTCCTGTTTGTCAGCTATCGGCAATCCTTTAAAATTTGGGAGAACAGAAGTTTATTAGTTGGTTAAAATCTATTCTAATGTTCACTTCTATTAATAGAAAAGAATAGAACATCCATTTATTGTCCCACAATGGGGAAATCCTGGCGTTTACAGCAGCAAAAAGATTATAGAAAAAAAAAATGGTCACACAAATATGGACCTTAGAAAAATGTATAAGAATAACATAATAGCGAAGAGTTAAAAGATAATAAAATAATGCACTGTAAAGTGTTTTAATATAAAATCTGCATCTGGAGAATAAATAACCGATATACAGCTATGGACATTCTTACAGTAAAAGGTAACTGAAAAAGGTCTTAGCTGACCGTGCTATTTTGCAAAGTAAAAAAATTAGACCTTGCCTCACCTATTCTTCAAATTAACATATGTTGATTTTCTTATTCACAGTAACGAGGTGGTCACGGAAACTTGGATGACCTTTCTCTGTAAAACTTGCTTTTACAATAAAATAAAAAAAAGTTCTCCACCTCCTGAAACTTAAAGTAACTGATGTATAGAATAACTGCTAAAAATCCAGCAAAATAAGGACGGATAAAGAACACAAGTGAAACCTGAGAGCAGAAATCTAAACATGGATACAAACCTCGGTCCATTCCTCTTCTGTCTCATGCCTGTAGCCCAGNATGGATACAAACCTCGGTCCATTCCTCTTCTGTCTCATGCCTGTAGCCCAGCAGGTGACAGATGCCGTGAGCCGTGACGGCCTGCAGGAAGAGACAACGTTTAATGCAAACCAATCAGGTGACTAAAAATGTAAACGAGCTGTGATCCTTTTTTATTAGAAAAATTCTATTTAAAAGAATGGGTTCAACTATATACAGTGAGCAAAAAAGATAATCAAACATTGTCATTCGTTTACAGAAAAACCAAAGAAAAAACACAAAAACTCATCACAAACCGATTTCAACATAAATACTTTCCCTCCTTATAATATACACTGGAAAAATAAATGTTTATGCAATCCAATCAATCAAATTGTCCAGTCTTGAAAATATTTGCCTTTACTGAGCAGTCCGAAAATGTCCTGTGAAAGTTGTTTGTCGATGCTTTTCTGTTTTACTGTGGTTCTCAAAAATTCCTAACAGTTTCCAGCAGTCCAGTGACTTGTTTTCAAAAGGTTTATAGTTCCTGCAAATGTATATTGAGTGTCTGGCGAGAGAAAGGATTATATTGCTTAAGGTGTGCAGATGAAAAGAATGTTGTCTTTTTTTTCCTTGTTCCAAAAAGTAGTATCCATTCCCACTCTTTGTTTAATTTGCTGATACCTGGATCCAAACTTCTTCAACAGGGGGTCCATGGAGGTACTGCATGGGGGTCGCAAAAGTTTTGGTTGATTTAATTTTTTTTTATATATATATATATATATATTCCACCCTGCAATTTTTTCCACTAATTGAAATTTCTTTAAATCCACATTAAAATGAATTCAACACACTGTAGCAAACAGATAAATGGAAGCAGAAGATGTCTTACAGTCATCAATGCACACATTCAACGACACACAGGAGCTCTTTCAAGCTGGGCACCGTTTCATTCACAACACCTGTCCCATCAACCAGGAATCAGAATCAGAAATACTTTAAGAATCCCAGGGAGAAATTACTTTACTCAATCTGTAAAACAGTGACTATAGAACCAGTTTGATATAACACAATTTCATACAATATATATAATTAGGGGGTCCTCGCTCCATCTTAACATCAGTTTGGGGGTTTAAGAGGTTGAAAACAGCGGTCGGCTGTCGTGCAGAACATGATCTGACAAACTTTTATTCAGGTTCTGGGCTTTACTGNACATCAGTTTGGGGGTTTAAGAGGTTGAAAACAGCGGTCGGCTGTCGTGCAGAACATGATCTGACAAACTTTTATTCAGGTTCTGGGCTTTACTGAAGTAAAAAGATCATCTGGACAGAGATGCTGCTTAGGCCTCATCAGGAAGTGGTTCAGAGATATTTGGACTTATGATGAAACCCTCCAGGTCTGCACCCTAAAGGAGAAACTGTTTGGTTCTTACAAAGCAGATGAAGAAACAGAACTCCAACTGAGACCAACTTCAGGATCTGAGAAGATGATCCGGGTCTCCATTGATCATTAAAGTGGCTGGAGATGACGTGTAGTGAATAAGCTCTATATAAATAAACTGAATTGAATTAAGAAGTGTCGCCACCAGTTATAATAACTCTGGATAAATCAGGTTTCCAGATAAAAGTCTTTATCTAGTTAACCTATTAGCAAAAAAAATGAAAATGTCTAAAAAAAGAGAAGTAGTAACTCACAGTGAGAGCAGCATGAAGATCTACAGATTCCTCCTGGCACTGCTTCATCACAAACTCCACCCCCAGGAAGATGTCTCCAAGGTTCAGCTCATCTCTGTGAAGGGGGCAAGGCAGCTTTCCGGGCCGCAGGTCCTGGAAATACACAGACTGGTTTCTTTAAACTAGATGTATGACAAAAAGAAAAAAAAAAATGACTTTAGAAACATGTATGAAAACCTTAAACAAGGAGAACTCAGGATGTCAGAGTTCAGAGTAAATGTCCAAAACACTTTGATTATTTTCCAGGTTTCCGTTTTTCTTCCAGTGTGTGGAAGTCCGTGTCACCAGAAGCTTGTCGGTCATGTTTCCTACCACCCACTTCTCTCCTGTAGTGTGGGAATCACCATGGCAACTGGTGACTCTGCTCTTTATTTCATTATCCTTTTTAATCTACAGTTAATTCAAGGTGGATGTGTATGAAGGACCAACTCTGCCATATTTAAAAATAAATACAGAAATAAATAAATGCTCAAAGTATTTATTTATGTGCATGTTATAATATTTTTGTCTGTTTTATTCTTCCTTTGTATTTTTTTACCTTAGTTATTTCTTCGCCGCTGTTTATTTCTCTCTGCCCTTTTTACATTTCTCTCTGCCCTTTTTACATTTCTCTCTGCCCTTTTTACATTTCTCTCTGCCCTTTTTACATTTCTCTCTGCCCTTTTTACATTTCTCTCTGCCCTTTTTACATTTCTCTCTGCCCTTTTTACATTTCTCTCTGCCCTTTTTACATTTCTCTCTGCCCTTTTTACATTTCTCTCTGCATTTCTGTCTCATTATGCAAATGAGGAGGGGGTGTGTCCTAGAGAGTCAACTTCTGCTCATTGGTTGGCTTGGCGGTCCATCTTCTTAACTCACAGAGCTCAGAGTACTAAGTTAAATGTTCTCTTTTCTGTTGCTGTTGTTCAATAAAAGTATGTTTTAAGATCATTTGAGGCGAGAACCTTATACTTTTAAGCATCAACATATGGCCAATTCACAGATTTAATGCGGGAGAGAAATGTAAAAAGGGCAGAGAGAAATAAACAGCGGCGAAGAAATAACCAAGGTAAAAAAATACAAAGGAAGAATAAAACAGACAAAAATATTATAACATGCACGTAAATAAATACTTAAAAATATAAGTAATTAAAAAATAAAGTTGAAGATTATAAAGGACAGAAAAATAAATAAGGTAAATATTACAAAGGCAAATAAATAAAGAAGCTAATTAAGAGTTATATACATTTATGTCTCACTTTTTTGTTGGCAATTAATTGTATGCTTATACATTTATTGAGCATTTATTTATTTCTGTATTTATTTTTAAATATGGCAGAGTTGGTCCTTCATAGACAGGAGCCAGTGCCCCTGTATCAACAAACTAATTCTAAATTTATTTCTTATATGAGGTGACAGGAAGGATTCAGAACAAATGATCCTTTGGACCAATTTAATCTTTAACCATTAGTGCTTACAATTATATAGAACCTAAGGTGTATCATTATACGCTTCAGATGGACTCAGTTTTCACCTTATAGATCAGAGGTTCCCAAAGTGAGGGTCAGGAGCCCTTGGGTAGATCGCAAGATGATTTTTCCAATCATTGCTATGTGATCCCCGAGATATATGGAGGATCAAAATGCACCATGTAAAAAAATAAGTAATTTAATGACATTAAAAATGAATGTAATTGCTTCTTTCTATATGTATGAATGAATGTATGAACTGTAATTTTCACCGAATGAAAAATTTTTTGAGCTCCTGCAAGGATCTGCAACCTTGGCTTTGGCCTTTGTTATAAAACTAGATGATAAGCTTTCACCCCGTTTTGTTTTTGTGCAAGTGTGTGTTTCTCTTTTGTTCTGTGCCCCTATGTAAAAAAAATTAACCCCCCAGTAAAGTTTGATTTAGACCGCCACTGTTATTTTTTTTTTTTTTTCATTTGGCGGAAACGGGCTTCCATAGAACATTTGACTTTTCTTGCTGTCGAAAAGACTGGCCAGAGGGCACGAAAACTTTCTTTTAACTCAAAGAAGGGGCAATGAGTTAATAAAATGCCCTCCTACCTTCATTCATTCATCATGGCTTCTTCCAATTACTTCACTTTAATTCAGAAAATCAAGCCTACGAAATGCTGCTTTAGAGTAAATTCTAGATAAAAAGCAGGATGTTGGTTTTTCGGACAGTAGCTGCATCTGCATCTACGGAAGATGACTAGGGCCACTGAAAAAATATAAAAAAAAGTTAACTGATTTTTAGATTTTATTTCAGTATAATATGAAATTCTCAGAATTCTGACTTTAATTTCAGAATTTGGACTTTTTCCTCAGAATTTTGACTTTTTTCCCCTCAGAATTCTGACTTTAATCTCAGAATTTTGGATCTTAATGTAGATGGGCACAATGAAAGAACATTTGAGAGCACTCAGCTTAACTGACAAAGATGTGAGTTGTTTGGGAGGGCCGGTAACACTAGGTGGAAAATGACAGAACTAGGTGACTTTTTATGTGCCTGAGGGGTCCCCGGTGATACTATTTCATTAATGGAAGACCAGAAGGTGATTAAAACGAGAGCTACGGCTTGATTCTAACGTGTTTGTTAAATGTCAGAATTCACTCAGAATTCAGAGAAAAGAAAAGTCAGAATTCTGAGAAAAGAAAAGTCAGAATTCTGAGATTAACGTTAGAATTCTGAGATTAATGTCATAATTCTGAGATTAAAATCAAAATTCAAAGATTAAAATCTGAATTCTGAGAAAAAAAGTCAGAATTCTGACTTTAATCTCAGAATTATCTCATATTATATTGAAATAAAATGTATTTAAATAAAAATAAAATTTAAATCAGTTTTTTTTTTTTTTTTTTTTGGCCCTAATCCTCTTCCGTATGCAGCCGAATTCATTCTGAAGTGAATTAATTATTTGATCATATTCAGACCAAAGTAGACTATGTTTACCTCATAGAATGGGAAGGACAGGACATCTGTTGGGGTGTTCTTCTTTCGGTAAATGCTGTTTATCTGTTGGATCCTGCGGTTATCCACGCAGATGATCCCCAGGTCGAACTTGTGGATGCCCAGGATGTGTCTCAGGGTGTCCACGTCCCTGCGCAGCCTGGCGCGCCGCAGAGGAACCACCCTCTGAAGGTTCCGGAGGACTACTCCCATTTTAAACCGAGAAGGAAACGAACCGGTGTGGAAATGGAGCCTGAAGGCATGAATGAACTCAAAGCTTTAGCCTCTGATGGGGACTGATACTCAGCCTGTGGAGGACAGCCTCGTTTAGCTTCACTCAGGAAACATTTTAAGGTGACACCATCAAACCGGAGCTGAAGCTGGTTTCTGATTCACAACTTCCGATTCACCGATTGATTAAAGGGCCAGATCACTATTGGGCTGAATTAAATGTTCTTTAGGTTCGCATCTATAATATTTAATTTGATAAAGCCCGAGCTTTATCAAATTGATAAGGCAACATTTTTAGGGATTATTATAGACAACAAACTTAGTTGGAATTCTCACATAGAATATATTAGAAATAAAATTGCAAAAACTATTGGAATATTATTTAAAATAAAAGATTTAATAAATATTAAAGGCCTGCATATTATATATTCCTCTTTGGTTATGCCTTATTTGTCTTATTGTTCAGAAGTATGGGGAAATGCAAATAAAACAATTATTGATAAGTTAGTTAAGTTGCAAAAAAAAGCTATAAGGCTTATTAATAATGTGGGATACTGTGAACCAACTAATAAACTCTTCATTCAAAGCAACACATTAAAATGTAAAGACATTGGTTATATAAAAATACTGGAAATAATGCATAAAGCAGTGAACAAAAGTCTTCCTTCTGGTATTCAGAAATTATTTAAGTTAAGAGAGAATAAATATAATTTGCGAGGTTTGTTTATATTTGAATGTGCAAAAGAGAAGAGCCAGATATACTAAATGTATTTCAGTTATTGGTGTGAAAATGTGGAATGAATTGAATGATGATTTAAAGTTATGTCCTTTCTTGGTGAATTTTACAAGGGCTTTAAAATGTAAAATGATAAAATCCTATGTTATGTAGATTTGAATATTATTATTTTGAATATTTATATACGCAGTAAAGAACCTGGTAGGTTATAAAGGTTGTAAGTATAAAACAGGGTAGGCAAAAATAAGCTTTGCTTCAGCCTATTCCTTTTTTTTTGTTTTTGGTAAATTGTTGGTTTTGTTTTGATATTGTTTTATGTTGGATTATTTGCTAAAAAATAAAGTGAAGTGAAGTGAAGCTGGATACTCCTTGCCAACTTTTACCCTCTTAAAATACTTTTTTTTTATTGTTTTATTGTCTTATTCAAAAAATAATGTTTTTTCCACACATAGGCTTTTTGACTTTTCTAAATAACCTAAGTTTGATTATTTTTAGTTTTTAAACAAAAGAAAAGAAATAAAACTTTTGCAAACATATAGTTCTATGGAAGCATATTGCTGGTACTTGAGAAAATAACTTTTTGCTGTAACTATCACGTTTGTACAACATAGTTATCCCATTTGTACAATATACTTTTACGTTTATACAATCAAAAATTAAGTGACAGCAATACGCTTCTGTAGCTTTCCTTTTGGCTTTTTTTGGATTTTTTTTTTTAACCGTGGGCCCTTGGCTTTTTTTATTGACCCGGTTATTGGAAAAATTTGTTTTTTTTAAAATTTTTATTTGCCCTTTTTTTTTTTTTTTTTTTTGGAAATTTTGTTTTGTTTTATTATAAAAGAGAAGTGCTTTACTATTATTTCTTTACATCTGAGTTTTCTCTTTATCAGTTTTTTCCAAAGTTTTAAGAGCCACAGATTGTTGATGTGGTTTTTGGCATCCAAAATAAAATAATGTCTAAATCTAAACCATATTTTATTTAGAATTGTTGGACCGTTCATGTTGTTGTAAATAACATGTCATTCTATTCTTATGTTTGACATGTTTTAGTCATCTATTTTATGTAGGGACTCTGATCTAAAGAGGCTGTGATGTGTAAAAAACATCTGGCCTAGTTTTAACTAATTCAAGAAATTGCATGGTGCATATTTTAAACAGAGCTGACTTAGAGTTAAATAATTTGTTGCATTGCACTTTTTTGAAAGCTGACAAACGAATTACATGTTTCAATGTGTTATTAGGATTGGATTTGATCACACTCAGTTTTGAGGCCTGAAATTTATGGGGCATAAAAATCTTCAAGAGAATGCCTTAATCTTCAGATTTCAGACTCATTATGATCTTGGATTAACTGTGCCATTTTCCAAAATTTCAAGACTAATATCATAATTATTAAAAAGTCTATGTAAAAAATACACTATGTATATTTTTATGTAAAAAAATTGAACAACAACAAGTTTTGAATTCAGTTTAATCAAGACTAAGATATCTGAGAGCATTATGCTTTTTGTTAAAGTATTTGAAAAATAAGAATAGAGTATGGATAATTGATAATAAACACTCAAACAGTGCCTTATCTGTCAGTTTGACCAATCTTGCAAGTTATGAAATTAGCCCCAATGTTAAATACTAAGTTAGATGGGCTTGCAAACTGTAATTTCAATAACCTATTATCAAATTACGAGAAACAATTTCAGAATTTACAAGTTAAGCTTTTAAATCATTATAAACAGGTTCAATATAAAAGCTTCAAAAGTTCCCAAACATCAAAACTCACATTTTTTAGAGTTAACAAGTTCCATAAATGTTTTATAAGTATTGGTTGTATGTCAGAGAATCTTGATCAAAATAAAAATGTTTGGGGCATCACACATTTATAGTTAGAAGAGGATATAAGGGCCTTTTGTTAAAATGAACAAAAAAAAAACGTCGTCTTAGTTTAACTAAATTTCTCATGTCAAAAAATTCACCTTATGGTAATTCTGAGTGATGAATATTTTTAACAAAAAAACACACTATTTTATTCGCTTATTTAGAAAAAAAATCGTAGTTGTTTATTTGTTCAAGGGTCGCGGAACTGTTTTCGTGTAACTCGGGGAAGAAAATCCTCGTCGGACTTAGACCGGAAGTATAAAGTATTCGAAGGAAATAGAGCGCAGAGATTGTTTTATTTTAAAATTTAATCAGTATATCTTCGATTTATTTGTACGGGAAGTTTTCTTTTTCTTGTTTATTATCCGAAGGAGCATAAAATAACCTTTTTTGGGGGATATTTGGCAAATTTATGTTGAGTTTTCCGATGCTAACGGCGGAGCTACAAACGGCTAGGTTAAAAACCAGCTTTATCCGGTAACACCGCATAAACCTATTTTTCTTCGTTATGAATCCGTTTGGAAGTCCGCAGGGTGGAGCTTTCCAGGCTCCCGGTAGCTCCATGAAGCCCAGTCTCTTCCAGGTTTTCGGACAGCAGAATTCCAGCGGATCTCAGGGACAAAGTTTTGGTTTTCAGCAGCCACCTGCCTTCGGACAGCCGTCTGCTACGCACCAGTCTGCAGCTCAGGGTGGTTCCATTTTCGGACAGCAATCTGTAGTGAATCAGCCTGCCACTCAGGGTGGGTCCATATTCGGACAAGGGTCCGCTCTTAACCAACCTGCAGCTCAGGGTGTCCCCCTCTTTGGGCAGCAGTCTGTTGTTAATCAGCCAGCCGCTCAGGGCGGTTTCATCTTCGGGCAGCAGTCTTCAATAAATCAGCCTGCAGTTCAGAGTGGTTCCATCTTCGGACAGCCATCCACAGCGAATCAAACTGCAGCTCAAAGTGGTTCCATCTTCGGACAGCCATCCACAGCGAGTCAACCTACGGCTCAAAGTGGTTCCATCTTCGGACAGCCATCCACAGCGAGTCAACCTACGGCTCAAAGTGGTTCCATCTTCGGACAGCCATCCACAGCGAATCAAACTGCAGCCCAAAGTGGTTCCATCTTCGGACAGCAATCCACATCGAGTCAACCTACGGCTCAAAGTGGTTCCATCTTCGGACAGCCATCCACAGGGAGTCAACCTACGGCCCAAAGTGGTTCCATCTTCGGACAGC